TTATTAGGAGATAAAAATCATACTGGGCACATTCCACAAACTCGAGCCCTATTGGAATGTTAACAATAGCTAATAATAATATCAATCATTTTGATAACCAAACCTCAAATAACTGCAAATAGTTAGCAGCGTTCATACATTATTTCTTTAACGTGGAAATAACAGGACAAATGCACTTCCTCAGTTAAAATAAACTAAAATTAAGCAGCAAGTCCAAAGAATTGTGCAACATACCTGCTTATTTAAAACTCTAACATCCTGCAATTCTTCATTGTCGGGGATCTGGTTAAACTCGGATAGAATTCCAGGCAATATTTTAGCAGAATAAGCATCATTATCAACCTTTTCAAGAGTTTCTGTACGAAAAGATAATGATCTCGAGATGTTTTGCTGCTTGAGCATGGAGAGCTCCTCCTGATACACAAGTTAATTTTAAACTTTTGTTTATTAATAAGAAGAAAAGCACTTCCAATTGTGAAAATAATAAATTTGTTATGTGCTTTACATAAACCTTTAACAAAAGTATTTGATGATGTAAGTCGAAGGCATCCCCCGAAGCATTTTCATTCACAACAACCTAAAGTTGCAGCAATAAAACATCAAATATGAACTAAGAAATTTTATTCTAAAAAAATATTGGTATTAAAAAATATCATGCACTAATTAGAATCATTACATTGTTCTGAATAGCTTTCGCACGCTGGGCGAATTTAAGAGTGTTTAACGTTTCATTTGCTGAGCTGCAAGGTAACAAAGATAAATGTCAATTACATTGACACGCATGCAGTGAACAATATAGATACAATTATAAAAGAAAAATACATTGCATACCATATAGAAGGACTGACATTTGCAATGATCATTGTTTTTGAATTTCCACCAAGAGAATCCTACATCACAGACATTAGTAAAAAACTAATGAATAAAACAGAAAAATTGCATGAAACTAATTCACAGTCAACTCAAAACTAATTCTGACTTGAAGAAGAAATGTCAGTCTCGAATCTCTGTAAGGAACATGTCTTTGCCTTCCATTTGCTAATTCAGCTAAAACCATTATTACATGCCTGCAAATCCAATAAATTCTCAAACAATGCTAATTATTAAAAATAAATAAAGTTCTATGTACAAATGAAAGAAAAATAAATGCATCCTACATAAAATTATTGCATACCCAAGTGTTGATAAGGATTTATTAAATAAGGATTTAGTGTTGATAAGGATTTATTAATGTTTGAAGCCTCCTTTAAGCGAACCCCTTCAGCACCTGATGTTTTTTGCCTGTTTAGCAGACATAAAATAAATCAGAACATAGTTACTTGATGACTCTTTATGAATCAAGAGAAAAGCATATCGAGAAAGTACCTTGTAGATCCTGCAAGATCCACGAGGTTCAACCTTGCAAAATGCAATGTACTTGTTGAATCTTTTTGCCATCTGCTCTCTATGGTGCAAGTGAATACACTATGAGAACGACTGCTTTCACGATTCATCATTGTTGCTGCTACTTTCCTATTTGCAGCACCCTGAGACGTGGTTGCCTTGCATTTTACTGAACTTTTTACAATGATTTGAACAAAAAGTAAATAAATACCTGAATAAGAAGTTGCAAAGTGTCATAAACATTTTCAACTTCAAATTCGGAAAGGTTTTCAACATGAACTCCCTTCCGCGGATCATCTCGAATCTGTCAATCACAATGTGATGTCGTACAATGATTAGCAAAAAGAGAAGGGAAAAAATTCAAAGATGGAAAAAAAACTTAAGGTAGACATTTTAATGTTGGAAAAAAAATTAAACAAAATGCAATTAAGAAACAGAAAGAAAAAAATTAGATGAAATACAATTAGGAAACAAAAACTGAAATATGTCAGAACTTACAATCAAGTTAGTAGATGAGGGGTTGAGAAGATCAAAAATTTGCTCATTATAAATCTGCAAAAATGAACACTTGCAAGTGTATTTAAGTTTTTCATCCCTCCTGTTCTCTTCCTCCTATAAATTGAGAATAAAAACTTTAGCTAAAAAATATATATTGATAAAATCACAGTGATATTTAGGCATTTTACCGTTTTAATCCGTGCAAATAAGAATTCAAAAATTCGTGGTGTCATTCCTCGGTTTGCACTCGGTCTGATTTCCAGATCATTAATCTCTCCAAGCATTGTATGTGTCTTCCCACTTCCAGTCTACAACCACAATATAACATCAAACTCATGCAGATTGAGACTCAAGCACACAAATAAAATCTAAAAAATAACATATTATGAGTTTTCAAATTGGCTCTAACACCTATACTTAATTTTTTACATTTATAACATCCAAATCTATCATATCACAAAAAAATACCACTATTTTGACTTTTAAAAGTGAAATAAGCCTTTCATGCATAGGTAATGTGGCATATATGTAAAAATTGAAGTTTGGGTGTTAGATATGTAAGAACATTGGAATTCCAATATTTTTTCTGCTTCAATTGAAATTTTTATTCTAAAGATTATGAATAGTACCTGTCCATAAGCAAACACACAACTGTTATATCCTGACATGCAATTTTCAACCATTGGAAGTCCAGACACTCGAAACAACATCTCCTGTATACCACAGATGTTTTATACGAAAGATGGAGAATATAGTGGCCACTTCTACGCAACAAAAGAAAAAAAAAAGGAAAAAATTTAGTAGAAAACCTGATTGACAGTTTCGCATGCTATATAATCAAACATAAATCGAGTCTTTGATTGTCCAATCCATGTGATGCTTTGTGCACTTTCCTGCTTTATGCATCTACTGTAACCTTGTTGACTTCTCTCTACGATGTTGATAGGACGAACCCGAATCACAACCTACGTAGATAAAAACACTTAGGTTCAACATTATCAACGAATCAATCCCTACCTTCTAAACATAATGGACTCAAATAAAAGTTTTGTGTTTTGTATTCTATGAACTTCATTTTGCAATCAATAACTTGTTTTGTATTGTATCCAGTTTGTTATCAACCCAGTAACTCCTTGTATAGAAAATACATTTTGTCTTTCAAGCAATGGAGAACAGAAAATAATTTTGATCAAATTACAGGGAACTGTAATGCAAAAAAAGAACTAGTTAAGTTCAAATGACAATTTTCAATAATTCGGGTATCCTAATTCCTACTATTGTTTTAGTTTATTTACAGCTTAATAAGCTAGATTCCTTTTCCTACAACAAAAAATTCAAAAAAAAAAAAAGTGGTTATTGAAATGAGGCTAGAAAAGCAATTTGTACCTGTACATTGTGATCCATCCAAAAGGAGGGATCCTCCTTGAGCTCAAAATGTGGTACTTCAACTGATGCATAAACTGGTGGAGGTGCAGTTGACAATGGTATCCCTTTAGATGATACCAAAAAATTCATAGCCTTGACAGTTCCACAACACTGTGGAGCACGAGAGTTGCTAACCCCATTGATCATGGGCTTAGAAACGCTCTTGGTGGGCGTGCTTTGCGTCGAGCTTGTACCAGAATGAACCGATGAGGCTCTCCCACCCGTTGTTGTAGAGCGAGGAGTAGCAGCACTGTAACCATTCCCGAAGTTCAGCGCATGGTTTGCCATAAGAGGTGGTGGGGGCGGCAACTGGAATTGTCCCGGATGGTGCGAATACTCCCTTCGATCCGGAGAAGCCAATCCGGCCTGTTCGACAATCGGAACCCATCCAAACCTGCCCTTGCTCGTCGGCAATTTATCTGGCGTGCGTGACTGTAAGAACTGATCCGACCCTTTCACTTGGCTCTTGGAAGGGGTTTTCTCGCTCTTTCTCCTTAAATGTGTTTCTTGATCCAGTCCGGACTTACGGTTTCGCTCGGGTTCTTGAATGGCGCTAAAAGGAAGTCTTGATGGATCCGCACCCTGCTGAGATGCAGATGAAACGGTCTGCTCTAGTGGAAGATTCTTGTTGTTTGCGTCGGTGGTAGGGTTCTTCCCGGAGTTCCGCCGGAAGAATTTCAACTCCCTTAACACTCTGATAGGAAAAAGTTTACTCCAGCTGAGGAGAAAGAAAGCATGAGGATCAACAAAAAGGAAGTCGTGAAGAAGGGAAAATCGGGCTGAGAAATCAACGAAGGAAGTCGTGAAGAAGGGAAAATGGGGCTGAGAAATCAACGGATGATGGAAAGAGATAATAACCTGAAAGATTTAGTGAATAGTAAATTCCGAAGTCGAGAAATCGTTAACGATATCTGCTTCCCGATCAAAGAACAGATACTAACGACGCGCTGCAAAGGATCGAATTTCATCCCTATGTCGAGAAATCCTGAACGATATCTGGAAAACTTTGAAATTTTGGAAATAACGACGCGCGGATAATAACGACGCGCCGCAAATGTTCGAATTTCATGCCTATGTCGAGAAATCCTGAACGATATCTGGAAAATTTTCAAATTTTGGAACGTTGCAAAGATCCTATTTCATGGCTGATTTGAATGTAGTTAGTTATGCAAATTTGCTTTGAATAGTAAGATGTCGACGAAATATTCGTACATCCACTATGAATCTAACTTTAGTTCTGCATGCTTCACTATGAAGGTATTTATGTAAGCCAAAATGCAAATCTAGTTATTCTACTCTTTACCAATCATACATATGAACTTCATATTGTACATTTAACTAGCTAGTAATATATAATAATATATATTAAATAATAATATGATCTAATGATATAAACCTATAGGATTACACTATTTAAAGAACAGCTGAGCCCTCCCATCATTGTTCGACTATCATAATTTCCAAGTAATTATCGCATGATCCCTATCAGGGACCCGAATCTAATTTTGATTGTTTTGGAACGTTAGAAAATTATTATTTGAACATTTTATCTACACATATCAACAGAAAAACCACGCAGATTAGACATCATTTTTTTTTTATTTATGACATCTATGATCAATAATTATCTGATCTCCACTAATGATTAATATCATGTGTTTATAAACCATAGTGTTCAACACACATCTGAGCTTTTTAAGAGAATGGGTAAGTCAATTGCCTCTCATCGCCTGAGTTCTAAAGTTCCTCATTGGTTGTCATTTAAAATTTACTTTAAAGCAATTTTTGGTGTCATTCAACCACCAATATTCAACACTGTCTTCTCATTTGTAGGCATCGCCTCAAATCATGAAATAATCAAGTTGACTACCTACATTCACCCTACTTTTAATGTTTTTTTATTGACTATCATATGATATTTGGCAACGACCAATATATGACATTTGTTAGCAACTAATATCCATTCGTTATCTTTCCAATATCTCAACTCCCCTTCATGTCAAACCAAATACTAACTTAACAGGGATTTAAATCTCAATTCTCAAAATCATTTAATTTACATTGCCTAATAACAATTTTAACACATCAAAACTCATCCTAATGTATCATAGGAGATCTTTCGACATTCGTTTTTATTATATTGTATTAACCGCTTCTTTAGTAATGAGAAAAAAATTTTCCTTGTAATTTTTTAATTAGTACACATAAAATAATTTTGACTAGACTAATCTACATAAAATTTTCTCATTCTTAGAAACAAACTATATATAATAATTTCCCATATAGGAGTGTGAACAAGTCGAGCAAGAGCGAGCCCAGGATCAGCTCGTGTTCGGCTCATTAAAAAAAATATCACTATTCATGTTCGACTCGTTTATATTTCAAACACAAAAAAGAGTGTTCCTGATCGGCTTATTTGCTTAGCGAACTAAAAACGAGTTGTTCATGAACAATGAGTCATTTTGACAGCAGTCGTAGAATGTTAAGTGTAGAAAAAATATTTAATAGATAATTAATAGTAATTTGGAGTACTGTAAAATTAGAGAAATATTCAAAAGCATTTGTTTTTGTAATTGTAATGAGGATTTAATGTAATGAATGCATGCTTAATTAATATTTCTCTGAAATTATGTGTTGTTGTTAGAAGGATGATTGACATTATGATCGATGTGTTATGTTGCTCTTGTTTTTATTTAATGGCTGACGCTTTTAAGATTAAGAGATAAGCATATTATTACTTAATATGGGTGCATTATTTGATATTTATCCACAAATTTTAGTTATTTATTAGCTATTATGGTATATTCCTTACATATTTGTGTGATTTCATGTGATCATTATGACATGATGTAATAGTTGGGTTTGGCAAATCCCTTTTTAAATGTTGGTTAAACGAAATGATGAATCCACTAGATGGTAATTCATTTAAAAAATCAATTGATTTTTATGGGATCTTTGTCCACGTTTCTCGGCATATATATATCATGCTCCAAATAATTCAAGTACCACGCCCTACACACGGGAGAATCGAACCTCAGACCACAGAGGACTTACAGCTGACAAGGAGATGCCCGACCAAATGATCTGAGTACGCGGCGCATATATATATATATATTGCATACTACAAAATTGGTATTTTTTTTATAGTTGAATACGATAATCATTTATTTATATAAATAATATTGTCTGAATAATAATTACAAAAAAAAATTGTTTTTTATGTATTGTCTACATAATATATATATATATATATATATATATTGTTTTTTTCTCTTATTGCCCATATTAGTGGCATGCCTTGTGATTTGTACTTAATGGGGAAATTTCTAGACACTTAATTTAAATACATCCTTAAAAGATGATTAAAATTAACTTATTCAATGATTAATCAGTGATTTATTCTTTAGATGGCTTTTTATATAAAGTGGCTAACTTAAATTTATGCTTTAATGGACAATCAATAGATATTATTTTAAATACAATTTAGTAATGAAGCAAAACACTTAGTATACATCCTAAAACATACTAGATGACCTTCTTCAAGTTTCAAGTCATGAATAACTATAGAAGGCTTTAATCAAATAGAAAAAATGTACTTATTAAATTGATATCATAAGTACATCTAAAAGGGCTTATTGAAAAAAAAAATGTATAACAAGTAGCATTCTAGTTTTTGGAGCTCAATGTAGCCTAAGCATGTTTATAGATTGAAGAAGCATGTGTATGGATTAAAGCAAACCCTAATGACTTGATATGGAATGCTCAATACAGTCTTAATTATATGAAATTTGCTATAAGAATTATAGACATGACATTGTTTATTAGAAAGTCTGAATTTTATATTTTAATTAAACAACATATTTTTTGGAGCCACAAATAACTTTGTTTAAGAAAAAAATTCAAATCATGAAGTTTTAGATGAGTATTATGAGAGTCTTGACATGGGAGGAGCTAGCTTATGAGTCCATGGGCTGTTGACTTCATCATTTGATTATTGATAGATTGATTGCTTGACTTAATAGAGCACCTAAACCTTCCATACTTGCATTATAACCATTAATGAAAGAGAAAGAGAAGCGACCAAAATTTTAGGTCAATCTTTTTTAAATTTTATCCATTTCAAATTGAAAAGTGGTTGTTCTCATTTCTATGGCTTCATGATAATTCGAATTTTCATTAATTATTCAATTATTGATGAAGTTTAAACATATTAAAATTATTCCTTTTTAATTTATATTGAGATATTACTTTCCATATTTTTTTATGATGGCAATGTGAAATTAATTCTTTTTTTCTTTGGAAAAAAAATGATAAAAATACTTAATTTTACTAATCATCTTAATGGTGATAATGTGAACAAAAAATATACTTCATTTATTAGATGATAGACATAGCTTGATTACATTCTATAAATGAAATAACATTTCTTATTTAATTTGCATTGAAATAATTAATCTAGTTGTGTATCAATTTCATAGCAAATTCATTTGGTTTTGAGAATATCAACTTCACTAATTAAGAGTGTCATCAACGACACCCGACCAAGCATGCGTGTTGTTCATTCTTTATTTGGGTCCTCCCCATTTTGAGGTGTTAAAAAAAGCGAGTTAGTAGTTTGGTTTTGTTTAGTGATGGTTTTAATTTTTTTTTTTGGCATATTTTTGTGTTATTTTCTTTTTGCCATTTTATGTTATTTGGATTATGCCTCATTAAAAATAATATGTTTAAGTCACATAAAAACCACTAAATTATTGTTTACTTGTACGCTAGATGGCCATTTTAGAGTAACGAAGGATGTATTATAGAGATGAAGTTGGGTTCGCGAGTCATGTTCCTATTTGCCCGAAAAATTGACTCAAGCCAAAACAGCTTGGCCCAAACCCGACCCATATATTAAATGGTCAAAAAGTTCAACCCGAACACAACTCACCTTCAACTCATATAACTCGTTTAATATAAAGAATAACAATTATTCGGGTCCAAACCGGGTTGGTAGCTCTATTTCAAATCAGTTTAAGATTGATGAGCCAATTTTGAGTTGGCAGGTCAACACAAACCCAACTTGAAAAATTAAACAGGTTAAAATTTTAGACCCGAACCCGACTCAAAATTTATTGTGGTCAACCCGAACATTGATTTTGAGTCTGTTCGGGTCGAGTTGACATGTTAAATCAAATTTTGACAGCCCTATGATGCATGCCCTTATTAAATTAGTAAAGAAATAATTGCAATAATCTCCTAAAATGATAAAAAAAATAAATGCAACTACATCGTATTAGGCTCTATCTCTTAATAAAATGCTTAAAAATTATCCATCACAAGAAGAAGAATTATGAGATCCAAAGCCCAATCGACTAAAGAGGGCTTGCACTTCTTTGAACAGGCTTAATACAATTGTCAGAAACATAGAGAATTAATTAACATGAATGAAGATCATCATGACATGGGAGATGCAATGAAGCTCTACATTTATTCAATAGTCTGCTCTTTACTAGGGTGCAGTTGCAGCGCTTCACATGGTCCACTGTTTTCACCTCACTGGATTCCCCAAAGGTTTGATGAGTTGTATAACAGGAAAGGGATCAGAGATAGGTGATTTCCTGACAATGCACCCTGGGAGCAATTGTATAAGGTAATCTTAGTGCACTTGGAACACTTAGGATTTTGTAAGTACTGATGAGATTTGATATTAATTGGGTATATTAATGATTGGTTTTGTTTGCTAATCTGTGGATTAATGGCAGTTTCACTGGTGGTGATACGTGGGGATACAATTGCCATTTCTAAGAAAGCTGGCATGATCCCTCTCCAGATGGAACTTGGAGGCAAATATGCATGCATTATCCTCGAAGATGCTGATTTAGATTTGGCTGCTTCCAATGTCGTGAAAGGAGGCTTTTCATACAGGTGATACGTTCAACCCCCTTAAACTGGTGATAGATAAAATTCCGGGTTAATCAATTGGTGATTCCTGATGAAAACATAGAAAATGAATAGAAATTAAAAGTGAAGTCTGCAATATAATTTCCATTTTTTATACTCAACCAATTTACACCCAAAAATCATCATGAGATGGGAGATGCAATGAGGCTCTACATTTATTCAATAGTCTGCACTTTACATAATCTGATAAAAAAAATTTCCTCCCAACAAGCTTTCCTCCCAACAAGCGCGCGCCTATAAAAAGGAAGAAACCAACAAATCAAAGACCAAAACATTGTGCATAATTGGCCCCATAAAACTCAATTGCAATAGGCCAATGAGAGATTATTTATTAGAAATCTCTTTGGCAGCTAGGAGTCTAATGAGAAATTAGTTCAGCAGCAGGATTATATATATATATATATATATATATGTTAGAGCCTCTCCATGACTAAAAACATCACTGACGCTGCTTCACCTCCTTGACAAGTCTAATGTAGAGGTAGGGCAGTTTCTAGCTAATGCTTGAGCATGCTCTCACAGGATTATATATATATATATATATATATATGTTAGAGCCTCTCCATGACTAAAAACATCACTGAAGCTGCTTCACCTCCTTGACAAGTCTAATGCAGCAGCCTGCAAATGCAGACAAGTGAATTTGCATGGCATCGTTTAATTTCATTTTAAATTTCTATTAAAGTGATCAAACATAATATTAAGAATAATATACTATTTAATAAAAAAAATTCTATAAATAATATATTATTATGTTTCAGTAGCAAGAAAAATAGAACAACATTAGAATATCTTATCCAACAACGTTCTGTAATTCAAATAAACTCACCTTTAGCATGGAGTAGGTTATTGCATATTCAGCTGGATAGAAGTTTTTTCTAATTCCTGCTCAAGTTCCATGGCAATGTTCTTGTATTTGGCATTATCAACCTATAAAACATTCAAAAAGTAATGAGAAATGTAAAGTTTAAATAACTAAAACCATTAAAAAAAACAAAAGATGATGAAGTAGAACCTTCAATATTTCATTTTCCGTAGATAAAAATTCCTCATTCTCCTCGAGCTTCCGCAACCTAATTTGCGCAGCAATTAATTCTTCGTGTCTTCTATTTATTTCTTCAAGCAAGCTAAAATATGCAAAAACAAACTTGTATGCCTTAGCTCAAAGTGGAATGAAAGGATATCAGTCAATCACGATGGCAAGATGTGCTAAAAAGTTCACCTTTTTCTCTCTTCAACAAATTCATCAACTTTCCTTTTCAGCTCTCCCAACTCCTTATCCTTCTCAAAGTAAAATATTTAACATAAGAATAAAATATACAATTTTACGTTTTGTATAAAAAAGCGCCAGCGCACAAACCTTTCCTTTCATTGAATCATCTGAATGAGATCCCCCATTCATCTTCTGCAGCAGCATAATAAAATAAAAATGTTTCAACAAACATGAGAAAACTAAAACCAGATGCAAAAAAGGATTATTTACATAATTCAATTAAAGATTGATCTCACTGCGTATTTTGTCATATCCAACTTGATTCCCAGTAAATCTCGAAGAACGTCATGGGTCATGCTCTCAGCTGCTGCTAAGCGTATATTTAACATAAAAATCTGGTGGTAAAAAACAAAAACCAGCAAGTAAAAACACATTATTGGGAATAGCTAAATAATTTGGGTGTAAAACACAAATTACAAATAACTGAGCGGTACCTGGTTTTGTCGGCTTGCAGCTAAAGCTTCGAGTTCTTCAACCTTGCATCTTGCCACAGTCAACTCTTCATCCTTCTCGGTGTTGATTTGCTGTGCTAGTCCCACTATACATTTAAAAGGAGAACCAGAGCCTCTACTTTTTGCTGCGCCTTTTTCAGATTTCGTTAATGTTGGATTTGCAGTGTTGGAGATTACGAGCTCAGTTTTGAGTTGGAATGCCATCGCCTCCAGCTCTTTAAACTGCATATGGAAGAGGACTTATCAAAGACAATAAAGAAGTGCTAAACTAGTACCCCTTGACTTTTACATGGGTCTACTTTAATCCCAGACTCTTCAAATTAGGGCTAAAGTAGTGATACCGGAGGACAAAGCCCCAAACCACAAATTACATACACAAGCAAACTTTTATTGATACAAATATAGGGTAACAAGACACACAAACTGAAAATAACATACCAACACATAGGATGACACAAACGTACACTTCAAAAGTGCATCCCAAGGGCGGTGGAGGTCGGGTTAGGTGGATCGGGATGGTTGGCAAGGGTGGTGGTAGCAAAGGAATGCTGATGGTAGCAAGGGAAGGTGCAGAATTACAGAGACAACAAGGTAAAATGCAGGAGGATGGGGCGATACAGGCTGGGGAAGGAGATTAGAAGTGACCGGAGGCTATGGGGAAGGAAGGCAAGTAGTCCTTTCTGGAGACTATTTTCAACCCATATTAAAATTGTCTGGGATTAAAGTGATATTTTTATAAATTCTGAGATCAAAATAATCCCCTTGCAAAGAATCGAGGGACAATTTTGACTATTTTTCGTTAAAAATGTAAATTTAAGGTGGTTCATTGTGTGATTTTGGCAAATTACTTAAACACACAAAGTACCAAAACCTTCATGGATTTAGCTGGAAAAAAAGGTAAAGTGATGGGGGTACCTTCCGGTTATATTCGCTTGCTTGTGCCTCTGCATGCAAGTTCAGTTCTGATATTATTGATTTGCACTGGACAAGCTGAGCAACCAGAGAAGTGCATGGTTCAATAAGCTATAGTTCCTCATGTTATTAGCCAACAACCACAACTAAGAGCAGCAAGAATCACTATTTTGGGGGCTCAATTACTCATGTTATACCCCATATAAGTTACAGCTCAAAACTCAAAAAACATGAAAATACTGAACGAAAGAGAAAACGTAAAGAAGTTATCACATGTTGTCTTATTAATGTATTGTAGGCATTGTTCTTTTTAAGCATGAATACCAAAATCTCATCTTGTACTTCGCTATCTTAGATAAAAAATGTGAAATAAGTATCAGTCAATATGTAATAAGTGGATATAAATGGCTACTAAAGCACCAAGTTAACTCCATTGACATATTATATTGAAGAATGTCATTTCAGAGTTTAAACTGTGCGAATTAAAAAGAAAACAGAGAGAGTGAAATCTTATTGAAGAATTATATTGAAGAATCTCACGAGTATATGAAAGAGAGAGAGTGAAAGAAAACAGAATCTCGCGAGTATATGAAAGAGAGAGAGTGAAGTGGATGCTGGGAGCGGGGCAAAGGGTAGGAGTAGGGAGACAGAATCAATGGAGGGTCGAATGTGAGGTGGATGACACTTAATGCCATAGTAGGGCATGGGAGCTGAAATTTGAAAGTAATACAGGCACGGGCAGCTGCATAAGGGTTAGAGATTTATAGGATTTGATTTTTTCTTTAATCAAATTTGGGATAGATTAAATATTGGACAAATTTAATATGTTATATTCCTCCCCCTAAACATTTTTTTCACCAAGGGATGTTGAGATTTCATCCTTATCATAAATACAGTCAATTTTTTATTCTTGTGAGGTGATTTGGGCAATATGAATGTCATTTCTGGCAGTTTTCAAAATTATGAATGCGTCGATATGACTTGTTTTGGGAGAGTGACAATTTGATTAATTTTATTTATGTGATGCATTTAGAGCTTAGTGATATTTCGATAAACTTTTTAATGAAGTTTCTGAAAATACGATCGACCTTAGTGATCTTAATATCGTGAATAATAATAAAACGTTTCATTTTTACCATCGCATTAGTAAAAAAGAAGTTGATAAGGCTTTAAAGAAAACCAAAGGTGGAAAGTCTGTAGGACCTGATAATATCCCAATTGAAGTGTGGAAATATTTAGGAGATTTGGGAGTTTCTTGGCTTACTAAACTCTTTAATATTATTTTAAAAACTAAAAAGATGTCTGAGAAGTGGAGGAAGAGTATTTTGGTCCCCACTTTAAAGAATAAAGGGGATGCACAGGAGTGGGCAAATTATAGAGGAATTAAGTTGATTTATAGAGGAATTAAGTTGATGTGTCATACTTTAAAGTTATGGGAGAGGGTAATTAAGCATAGCTTAAGACGCATTACAAAGATTTTTCATAATCAATTTGGATTTATGCCGAGCAAGTTTACTATGGAAGCTATACATTTGTTGAGAGGTTTGATGGAGAAGTTCAGAGATAATAAGGAGAATCTACATTTGATTTTTATTGATTTAGAAAAAGCTTAGGATAAGGTTCCAATAGACATTCTTTGGAGAGTTCTTGAGAAGAAAGGTGTTGATATGACTTATATTCAAGTCATTAAAGATATGTATACTAGAGCTGTTACTTGTGTTCAAACTGAAGGAGGATTGACCAAATATTTTCCTATTTCTGTTGGATTACATCAGGGATCGGATTTAAGCTCATATCTTTTTGCTTTAGTTATGGATGGTCTACAGGAGGATGTACCTTGGTGTATGCTTTTTGCTGATGAT